GGACAAGGAGACATATCTTCACCCCAGGCCTGCACCAATGGGGAAAGCCTACAGTACTAGCATCCTCCAGATAGGAAGTAGGGACCACTGAGATTCATCAAATTTTATAAGACCAAAAACCCAGCCTCGAGATGCAGAGCAGGATGGAAGGAAGTGAGAATGACCAGTGTTGACATTTTCTGTTCACTTCACTGACAGCTTTGCTCTGTGCTAAGCCAGTGCAGAGGCACGATGCAGACAGAGGCCCATCACTGCTGTCTCTGCCTTCCAGAAACTGAGTCCAGTGGACAAGGAAGATAAGACACCACAACCTACCACCCACCTGGTAAAACCAGCGTAGACTTTACCATCACAAAGCATATTTACACACATCATCTAATTCTCACAAAGGTCACAAGGCCAGAAGAGAACTTAAGTAACTTTCCCAAAGTTGCTCAGTAATGATTCAGTAAGACTAACCCTAGAAACTCCCATATATACTAGTGCAAAAACTGTAAGAGATACTTTGAGTTCACAGGGAGTTTCAAAGACAATGCCAGCGTATGCGATGTCCATGATAGGGACAGGAGTACTAGCTGCTTTACAGACACCAGCTCTAGTGCCTAAAAGAGGCCCACAGTGGGCATTGGGCCCGACCCAGACGGAGTCAACACCTGACTCCCGTTTGCTGCCCAAATGAAGGTGGGGTATTAACTGTTTCCACTATGTAACTGGAGAATGTGAGGTGAAGTCAAGAATCGAAATACAAGTCTTCCTGATACAAAAATAATTTGTCCTTTCATTTTGGCACTATTTTTAGATGGCACATGAGACATATAGGGTTCCATGCAATAACTGCAGAAGAGGTACAAACACAGCAATAAAAACAATGGATATTTCATTTGTTCCCTAATATTTCTTTGCATTTCAAGGAAAAAGTATCAGTTTGGGGCTGGTCAGTCTTTAACACCTCCCCAATTCTTGTCCTCCTCCTTCTTTAAAAAAGAAGGTGCTAGGCTCAGGACTTCCTGGCAAACCCCACCAGCTAGAATTTAATAACAATGCTTTGTTTTCAGTATATTTTATCTTTATGATTGCTACCTATCTATGGCAAACAGTACTGGTTTTCCATTTACATAAATGATACAACATTTCTTTCTAGAGTAAACTTAGGTTTCTTAAAGTTTCTTAAAATGGGATTATTTTAAAAGACAATATTAAGCACTTAATAGTGCAGGTAGTAGAGAAATGTAAGAAAACATGAAAACAGTCTATGGATGGCTGAAATTTGGGAAATGTTGCTCTGTGTCATACTGGCCCTCAGAATGCAAGTGTTTCTGCCCAGTTTTGAATCAGTGCTCCTTTGTGAGTAGGGCAAAGGGGACAAGTAACATTCTCCAGAACCCTCAACTCTGTGGCTGCGGGGTTCCCAGCTGGGCATGTCCCCAACATGGTCTCTTGCATGGGCTGCACTAACGAACATCATGTGTTCAGGCTGGCAGACAGTTACATGAACAGGTGCCAGGAGTGCACATTAACAGCTGTCTGATTAGAGCAGAAGCAGGCTAACTATGGCTCCTGAGCTATATCCAGCTAAAGCCTATTTTTGTAAATAAAGTTTTATTGAAATACCCGTTTGTTTAAATATTGTCTACAACTGCTTTCCTGTTGCAATGGCAGAGATGAGTTGTGACAGACACCATATGGGCCACAAAGCCTAATATATTTACTATCTGGCTCTTTACAGAAAGACTGCTGAATTCTGGACTGGGGCAGTGGTGGTATGTGTGGGGGGCAGACATTGAAATTGAGATCAGGGCAGAGCCAAGGGAGCTGTGTGTGTAGTTCAAGGGCCAGAACAGTAACTCTACTAGAAAGTAAGTTGGAAACTCCCTCCTGGAAGTGACAGATGGGCAGGATTAAATCGGAGTGGAAAACAGAAGCAGGAAGAAGAAAAGAACAAAGACATGATCAAAACATGAGAAACAAAGATGAACAAGGGGCAAGAGTAACATGAGATAATGATCTTGCATCTTTTAGAGTCAAGAACCGCCCCTTTAATGAGTTATTTTGGGCTTCCCAGACTTTCCCAAGAAGCTGTCTCTTGCAGCTTAAAGGAGCTACATCCTTGGGAAGCCAGGGACCCCAATCATGCCTTGGCAGGTGGTATTCAGTGTCCACCGTGGTGGGACTGTTATGGTCAGAGATAAGCTTGGGTGGGGAGAGCAAGCACAGAGGAAGCAGCAGACTCTGGGCAAGAGCAAATAATGTACACCTAATAATGTATACAAATACCAAGCAGGGACAATTGCAGAGGCCTTATTTAACAGGGTGGGGAGTTTGCACTAATATAATATGCTATGGGAAATCATTGCTGGGATTTGTGCAGGGCAGTCATTTGTGATTCCAGTTATTTGTGAGATAAAGATAATGGGACATAAAAAAGTCCTAGAAAATTGTAAGATGCTACATATCTTTGATTAATAATACTATAAAAGGCAAAATGGATGGGTTTACTAGAATAAAAGTATGAAGATGGCTGTCACTAGCACTGTAGGCATCTGCTGCAGCCATAGGCTCAAAAACACCTGCGCAGAGCTCTTCTTTCATGTTCTTCATCTCATTTGCATGAAAATTTCTATGAGTTAAGTAGAAAAAAAGGGCAGTAATGAGTCTGCAAAGTGACCAGGAGTGTTAACTGGGGACTGAAGTTTGGAATACAAAGACGTGAGCCTTGATAAAGATAAACTCAAATCAGAGAAGCAAGCTGCTTTGAATCCAAGAGCCACTAATACATACTTACACTCTGGTGTGGGAACAGCCACAGAGGTACATTTCTGGCTGTCCCTTTTGAAGTGAAATCCCCTGGAAAATGGGAGAACATTCTCCTCCTGGTAATCTTCCATCAACAGGCAGCTAGTGGACACTGAGCACAAAGCAGAGCCTATGTCCTACCCTCAAGGTGTCTTCAGTCCGTGGCCATGGTCTATGAGAAACTGGTACTTGCTTTGGCAGTGAGAACACTGGAATAAGAGAGAAATCTAATGCTGTGCTGGTAAATGTTTAACAAGCAGCTCTGGGGGGGTAGGGAAAGCAACTTGTAATTTTTGCCAATTTCTGTGGCGTACTCTCACCATAGCCTATTTAAAGCTACTAATGTGATATCACCAAACGGAATTGGCTCTTGTGAGCCAAGCGAGCCTTCTCCAGCACACCCCTGGAAATCCTGCATGCTGCTCACAGCAGTTTGCCCCTGGATGTTCATCTGCTGTGATGCGAGAGAACACTGACAGGTCACTCTGAAGTCACACTGCTGAAACCACTCTGCCCACCCAGTTATTCAGAGACTGAGATTTTACAGCTGACATTCTTCAAAAGCTGTGGAAGAACTGCCATTTTGGACTTCAGAAGAACTTTCTTTTGCAGATTGGGAAACTGAGGTCCAGAGCTATAGAACTATTCACCTTGGGCTGTGGGGCAGGACTGAGGTCATTATGCTTTGCACAATCAGAGACATTCGGAAACCAAACAGGGAGTAACTGTAGAAGGCAGTCCACAGTCACACCACATATCACAATGCAGCTGACACAGGACGGCAAACGTACTGCAGGGGTAGGCTGGTCAAAGAGGAGCAAGAAAGGACACCTGGATGCCTAGAAGTTGCATGTATGCGTGTGTGTGCACGTAAGTGGGCAGACATCAGGAAGCACTCACAATTGCCACACTTGTGTAATGTTAATAAAGTAAGAGGCCCCAGGCATCTCTTATTTGAAATACCAAAAGTTAGTATGTGAATTTTAACCAATTAATGCCACCTATGAAAAGAGAGGCTCATACCCTCTTCTTCCAAGTGGTTTTTTTTTCTTCTCCCTCAATTTTATTTTTATGGTTAAAACTTATAATTTTGCTACCTACTCACCTCAGCAAGTGAATTATGAATTTTATCAGAAATCAATATTTTGTCTAAAAACTGTAATTTCACACTGGTTTCGCCCAGACTAATAAAATGCTTTTATCCATCCAAACCCCAAGGAGGTCTCTCATGTACCTATCTTCCTCCTCCTTTCCTGTCCCTGCCCCTTTGCCCTCACCTGAAAAGTCAAGAGAGCCCACCTAGCAAGCTCCCTCTGGCATCAGGGCGACCAGATCCTGGGGAAAATTCGGCAACATTAGCTTTCTTCCTGGCTCTCCCTGCTTGCAAAGAATGCTCCTTTAGCAAGTCAGGGCAGCTTTATTTGGTCTGTTTGTGAGGCGCTTTTCTTCTGGGTGGCAGATATGCCTTCTATTTACCAATCATTCACTCACCACACACCAGCCTCCTTGGCAGTCCTTTGAAACTGCCCGGTAGCAAGTGTTTGTTTATCCCCATTCTGTAGGGGGTGAAACTGAGGCACAAGAAGTGGAAATCGCTGTCAGGACATGTCATAGGAGTGAGATATTGGATGAGAGTAATTCAGCTTCATAGGTTATTTTCAAAAACTAAGGAAGAGACGGCAACAAGAACTGAATCACACCTTGACATAGCATCGCCTTCTACGTCCTCCACCAGCCAACTGTGAAGTGAATTTTTATGAGGGGCAATACTAATAGATTTATGTTTTCACATATGTCATTTTGTGCTTTCTGGAGGAGGTACACTGAGCTTGGAAATAGGTGCTATGGTGGGAGGGTGGACATAAGGAAGGTAAAGCAAGAGGCTTATATGATCCAGGCTTGGGGATCTGGAGGCTGCACAGAGACTCTAGGAAATGACCCCTCCACTGTGCTCACTGCTTACTGGAAAACTACAGGAATGGCCTTTTTACATCACAGCTGGGGGGCTAGAAAACTCTTGCCTAATGCTGTGTAATTATGTAAATAAAAATATATACACACAGACAAATATACACATACATATGTACAGTATATATACATATCATAAAACATATACATATATGCATAATTATATATGATTATGTAAGTATAATTTGGTTATAAGAATTTACTCTGTTAGGGTATTTTCAAAACCAGACTGCATTATAATATAGGAAAAACTGTCAGCCATAAAACATTGCTTTCTTTTGTCCCCAAAGGGATATGTGATTTTGTCCTGCCTTTGCTAATTAAGAGTTGAAATTGCTAAAATGTTTCTTGTTGGCTAAACTAGAGAGAAGACATTATAATTCAATGGTGACTTTTAAGTTTTGAGAATTAAGATCTGTTGAGGTTTATGTGAGAAGGGGAAAAGGCTTGTGAACTACAGACATGTTTATGATTCTATCAAATCTAGTCAGCCACAGCCCAACCAGAGGCACAATTATGCAAACAACTCAGTTTCTATCCCTTGGAAATGTTGATAATGGGTCATGTTTCCAGTACGCAGGACTCACTGCTCAGTTCCGTGGCAGCCTAAAGTCAAAAGCTTATCAGATACAGTCAACTTCACAGAGTATTAGGGCTGGGAAGATGTGTAGGGCAACTCCTTCATTTCATAAATAAAGACACTGCATCCCAGAGAAGTGATTTGCCCAAAGGCAAACGAGAGTGTTTAGGATGAGAAGCCACATCTTCTGAGTCTCCACGTCCCTGACTCCAGTCTCTGTTGGTAGCATCCAGCCAGTCACTCCACTGACAGACATGAACTGGCACTGGGGTTCCAGGCGCTGTGCTAGCCCCTCAGCAGGGCTGCAGTATCTTTGATGCTCAGCTCTGAACAGGCACTGAGGGCTCTAATATGAATGATGCATAGTTTCTTCCCTGCTGGAGCTTCCAGGCTAGTGAAGGGACCCAAGGAACTCAACAAGAGAGGAGTACAGAACCGGTGAAAACAATTCTAGAAAAATGTACAAGATACTGTGGGGGCTCAGAGAAGGGGCCATACATACTCAGCCTTGGGGGTAGGAACCTAAAGGAAATGGAGGTTTCATGCAGGTAAGGGGAGCAAAGGATAGACAACAGCCCAAGCAAGGCTGGGAGACAACCCCTTGAGGGTGAGCAGGTTCAGCCTGGGCAACCTCAGGGAAGCCAGACTATACAGGGACAAACCACTGTGACTTTACGTGGGGCTACAGTGAGCATGAGGTCAAGGCAAACACATGGTAAGGCCAAGAAGTCCTAAGTGGGCATCAGGATCCACGCAAGAATGAACAGATCAGGGGAGAACCAGAAGAACATCTCCTGGAGAGCATATAAGTGAAGTAGCCTGGCTGAGATCTAAAGAGGCAGGCACAGAGACAGCCACTGAGATCATTCCCTGGGCTGTCCTTGTCCACTGGGGCCACGTGTAGCCCGAAGATTAAGCTAGCTTGAGCTATCACCCAACAACAGTCTTGTTTTTCTCGAGTTGTGAGCCCACGAGGACTGTAACTGAACAAGTGGGGAAGTCAGAGTCTAAACTAAAACTAACGCTAATAAATTTTTATAACTGCTACCCATTTTTCCCCTCTCTCCCTGCACTGATAGAGGTGCCCCAATAGAGGTGGGGACAGCATAGCCTGGAGCCAAAGGTTCTGAGTTCAAAGCCCGCCCTGCTAGCAAGTAGCTTTTGACCCTTGGCAAAGCTGCTTTGAGCTCCCTGCCTCAGCTCCCTTATCTACACTCTCAGAACTGTTAGATTGGATGAGAACGCACAGACGGTGTTTTTAACACAGTGCCTGGCAGATAGCTGTGTTCTGTGAGGGGTACTGTTCTATTCAAAAGGCCAGATTTTAAGGGAAAGCCCCATGTCAATGTGGACGTTGTGGTGAGTTGTATTTCCCAAAGATGACTGCATCAGAGTCTCACCTACAGGCTCTTCCTATGATGTGACTTTGACCTTCCCCTCATCGAGAGATGGGGTTCTATATTCCCTCCCCTTGAATCCAGTCAGGCTTATGAGCAGAGTGAAAGTGAGTTTGTGACTTCTGAAACTATATCACAGTGTGCCTCTTTTAGGAATGCTTGCTCTTGGAAACCAGCCACCATGCTGTGGGGAAGAGTGAGCCATCACACAGAGAGGCCACTGGTCCAGTCAACAGCCCCAGTTGAGGTCCCAGCTGACAGCCAGTATCAAATTGCCAAAGAAGTGAACAAGTGAGCCTTCAGATGTCAAATTATCTCAGCCTTTGCATGTTCCCAGTGAAGGCCCTAGACATCATAGAGCAGAGACAAACAATCCCACTGTGCCCTTTCCAAGTTCCTGATCCACAGAATCTGTGAGTCTGATAAAATGGTGGTTGTTTTATGCCACTTAGTTTGGGTTTCTTACACAGCAATAGATAATCAACATGATTGTTTTAAGGAGATGGAAAGGTTTAAGAGTAGTGAAAAAGCAGGATACAGGTTTCAAGAAGGCTAACCTGACTGCAGTAGGCTGAGACTGGAGGCAGGGGACCCAGGAGAAGACCACTGACAGATACTATGTGATGTAAACCTGAATATTCGGGGGAGGTGGTTAGAGGGCACAAATGAGATGCAGCAGTTGAGGAAAAGAGACAAGTTCAAATGACTCCAAGGTTTGAACTAACAGTGGAACCCCTAACAGATTTAGGTTCATCCAGAAAGGAACTAATGTTCTCTTTTCTGGTGGGTAGTTGAGATAGAGGAGAGGAAGTAAATCTGAACGATGTCAGGATAAAATATGAAGTATCAAGTGAGAAGTTAGAAATTCAGGATCAGAATCTAAACACTGGTTTTGGTTAAAACCATGAAAACGAATGAGATTACCTTTGAGATTAAGTTGAGAAAAGGTCTGAACCCCAGTGAGTGCCTATATGTTTAGGGCAACAACAGGTGAGAGGGACCAGAGTTGATCGTCAGTGACAGAGGCAGAATTCTTGAGCATAATTTCACAACCAAGTTTTGAAAAGCTGTGATCATTATCAGTACCACATGTTGCAGAGAGGCCAAAGAGACAAAACGTTGAAACAAGGAACTGGAACCAGAAAGGAGACCAGGAAGGAACCCAAGATCAGAGGTGGGCTCCTGACCAAAAACGGAATGAGAAACACAAACTGAAGCATGAATGAAACGACACAAACCCTGCTCTGTACACATCAGTGTCTCTGGTGTCTGTTCAGATGGGCAGTTTCCTGTGAGTCTGAAAAGAGGAAGTGGTGGGAACTGTTAAAATGAGGTGGTGAAATGTACATTTCTAAGCATATAAAGTGAGCACAGGAACACCTGCCACTTATCTACCTCACAAAGATAAAGTACAGATTAGATTCCAATAAAGTGCTTTGAGTTCTCTAGCATGGCAGTAGACCCGATACCTATCTTTCAGCCCTTTAAGAGGAACAGTTTTTAGCATTTGTTGAACTGCACAACATTCCTGGGAGGTAGATATTATCGTTGGATGAAGAAACAAAGGCCACACAGCAAGTCAAAAGCCAAGGCAAGATTAGAACAGGGCCTGCCTTCCGTGTGGAGAAGTCCAGTTGGCTGGATTCCTTTTGTGTCAGTAATAGGTTCTTTGATCTGTAACATGGAAGAGGCTTGTTTGGGGGGAAGTTGTGAAAATAGATTCATTAATGACCACAAACTTCTCTGAAACTAAAGGGAACATGGGAAAAAAGGTGCAGCCACCCAGATTCTAGAAACAATAAAATAAATTCCAGGAACAATGGGACTCTAAGAACAGCACAGGAGATCCAGGGCACTTCAGGAGAGTCCATCTGGGCAGTGTCCAGACACTGGGGGGGCCTCGCAGAGGGGGCACATCTTCCTTCTGCCTCTTCAGTCTTGGCAGACACAGCACAGAGATGGCTGGCTTGGACTGGCACAGAGCAGCGACTGGATTACTCACAGGCTGAGCTGGTAAACAAAAGGCAGTTCATGGATCAGGACACCTCAGGTGTCCAGAAACAGAGGAGGAGGGGTTATGGCTTTGTGAAAGACTTGACTTGAAATCCCTAGAGATGCAGTAGCATCACAGTTCTTCCTGCACTATATTTTTTTCCTAAAAACTCAATTTTCTGATAAAAGTAAAAATGCAGTGATGACACTTTTCAATAGTAGTGCTTTATTATAAATTAAGAGATGGAGTTTAAGATACATAAAGCTGGCATAGGGAAGGTATTAGGCATTTACTGAGTGCCTACCAAATGCCATCTCACTTAATATTTACAATCTCCACCTGAGATACTGCCAGCCCCATTTTATAGACTAAACAGACTTAGAAAGGATAAATCCTTTGCCCAAGGCCATACAGCTAGTCTCTATGACAGAGCTAGGAGTAGAGCCCTGACATGCCTGATTCTAGAGCTCCTGTTCTTTTCTGTACACTGCTCTGCCTGCCTCTCAATAGTCACAAGTTCAACATTAGTCAGGTCTAAACTAATGAGATTTATTGTAATGCCCTAGAGATGACTGTACCCTAAAACCAGAGAATGTGCAGGGAGGCACACTTCCATTATGTACGCCTGAACTGTGTCTGCGATACATACCAGATAAAGAAGTGACCAGGACCAATCCCAGCCTGTCAGCCCACCCCAGAGAGCCCTTGCTCAGCACTCATACCACACTAGCTGTCCGACAGACCCCTTGTTGCTCTCGAGTCTTTTTCTCTCATCTATTCAACAAGTACTCTTCTTGCCTCCAATTCATTCGAGCCTTGACGAATGCAGGTGGCGAGAGTTGTTAGGTCAGTCAGATACACCAATTCCTGCTGCACTGTTAGCTAATACATTCCCCTTCTGGGCTACGGATTTTTAACTCAGTTAACATGTACTTTACCGCCACAAGGGTACAAAGATGTAATTGTCATGGTGGACATCTCAGTAGTCCTGGAAGATTGAAAGAGGAGACGTCACGGCAAATAGGCCTTTGGGCATTTCCCCAATCAACCAACCAATCACAAAATCAATAAACTAGATATTGAGTCTTACCAATACCCACTTATGGGTTAACTACTGGGCAGATGCATTCCTTTAGTGAAGTACGTAGTACTATTATCCTCATTTTTACATAGAGGAAATAGTCACAGAACACTCCAATAACATTCCAAAGTCACACAGCTCATGAGCAGCAGAAGCAGGATTGAAACCCAGGCAATCCAGACCCTCAGTCATGCTCTTAGCCACCCACACAGCTCTCCAAGTGTGATCTGCAGACCCTTGGGATCCCCAAGACCCTTTCAGGGCTTCCACAAAGCAAACACTATTTTCCTAATTTACCAGGATGTTATTTGCCTTTTTTACTGTGTTGATATTTGCACAGATAGTGCAAAAGTAATGGTGGTAAAACCACTGGCACCTAAGCTGGAATCCAGGGATGGCAACAAACTATACTAAGAGTTGTGGTATTGTCACTGTTACCCACTTTTAGTAAAGGGGGAGGGGTACAACTAGTTCCACTTAAAACTGTCTTTAATGAAGCAGTAAAAATTATTAATTATAAAAAAATTTGACCCCAGAGTACAGGTCTTTTTAAATATCTGGTGTGACAAAATGGAAAGTATGCAAAAAACACTGCTGCTGAATACTCAAGTAAGACGTCACAAAGAAAGGCAATTATACGATGGTTTGAGTTGTGAGCTGAAATGGCCACTTTCTTCCTGGAAAACCATTTTTACTTCAAAGAACAACTGACAGACAGCTATGGCTCTTCAGAATTGGGTATCTGACAGACATTTTTCTGGAAAGCGAGCAAAGTGAGCCTGTCACTTCAAGGAAAACAACTCAGTATTTGTTGCCAATGATGACATTTTAGCTCTCAAGCAAAAATCAGAATTTTATAAAACTTGTATTTACCATTATAAGCTTTAGCTTCCCAATATTTAAAGACGTTTGGGATAAGACTGGTCATGATTGTGATGAATTCGGTTTTTTGATACTGCATAATGCAACATGTCAACATTTGGAAGATCTGAATAATCCAGTGAACCAATATTTTTCAAATAACTAATATATGATGCTATAAAATCCTGCATTAGTAAAAGATTTTAATATAGCAGAATACTACAGTTCATTCATATTGTTTAAAAAACGACATGACAAATACCCTTTAAGAAACTACTACTAGTCATATTTCGGTATAGTATGAAAGAATACCCTTAATTACCTGAGAAAGCTGTTAAAGTACTCTCCTTTTTCCCAACTACATATTTGGGTGAGCCCAGATTTTCTTCCCTTTTTGCAACCAAAATAATCTACTGCATCAGATTGAAGGCAGAGGCAGAGGTGCAAATCTATGTCATCTTTAGCAAGCCATTAAAGAGATTTGCGAAACAAAAAGGTAAAACAATGCCTCTTTTCTCACTGAATTTTTTGGCTTTAGAAAATACAGTTATTTTTAATGAAATGTTATTTATGTTAACAGGTAATTTCTTTTGTTATTGCTATTTTTAAGTGAATTAATAAATACTTTAAAAACTTTCTTAGCTTTAACTCCAGATGTGATACATATCAAAAGCTCTTTGGAGTCCTCAATAATTTGTAAGAGTATAGAGGGGTCCAGAGACCAAAAGTTTGAAAACCACTGCTACACAGCACGGAATCTAAATGAAGAGAAGACAAAAGAATAGGCTGTGCAGCTGGATCACTCTCTAGGTGAGCAGGTACGACTCTCAAGACTAGCCACCATGAATTTCATGGACTTCTCAGCTGGTAAGTATCAAGGACCCAATTTCTCGTCAGGGTGTATAGCTTAATGACAATAAACATCAAAGATCATTCTCGACTCTTTATGGTTCCCAGAATGCACTCAGCTCCTACCTCTATTTTTGTGCACTTGTCCTTTCCCTTGTCCACCTGGGAAACTCCAAGTCTCCTTCAAGACGTATATTGTTCACCTCTCCTCTCTGCCTCTAGGCGCCCTGTATACCCCTTTTCTATAGTACTAAGCACATGGCTTTCATTTTGGTGGTGGTGTTTTTTCTCTTACCAAGTTATGATCTGATCTGATATTTACTTACATGTCGAGCTCTCTGTTGGGAGGTTGAGGCCTTGAAAGCTAGAATTTTATCTTAATCCTAGCACCTTGCTCAGGACTTGGCACACAGAGTGAAACTCAGAAAAGACCTGTTGAATTAATGAAGCCAAGTAACCCCCAACACACACCCAGCAATCTTCCAATAGCAATTTGGCTTCTCCAGGAAAAGACTGTTGACCAGCTATGAGAAATAGTGTACAGGTTTTAGTATTTCTCAGTATGATATTCAACGAACATTCTGACTATGGAGTCCTGTTAGTTACACTGGTGTGAATTCTGAAATTGTAAAACTAAGATCCAAACCTGGGTCTTCAAAACCCTCCAAGGCAAGCTCCCCCTGCTCCCCACTCCACACCACATGCAGATGCTGGCCTCCCTCTGAGAGACTCCTGTCACAAGCTCTCTAAAACCAAAATGATGCTTTTAAGCAGCCAGGTTTGAAAGAGAAATTTTCAGTAAAATGAAGAGTATATAAAGACAATTATAAAATCATTGCTGTAGCTTGAACTGCTACATGATCAACGACTTCATAACTCAATTAGAGAAAAATATTTTTTTCCCAAATTTAATGTAAGCAATGTGTGGAAATAAAGGATGTTGAGTCAGATAATCCCCTGTGACCATCACAGATAATACAATGTGTATAAGTTTTGAAAAATGTTCACATACCTCAGGATGTTACGGCTTCTTTCTGGAATGCTGCTACTGTCCTGTTAATCCCTCCCCAGCCCCCACCCCAACACAATGTTCTCTCAGTCTATTGTTCAACATGCCTCTTGCCTTACTTCTACTATACCTTGTTCTGCTGCTTTCTCATTCTATTTATTTAGGAATTAGGAGAGGATACATAAGACATTTCACAGCCTTCTTAGGCTCTGCCAAAGAATGTGATCTTATTTCCTTATCTCTACAGAGTAAGAATCTTGGAAATCACCTATTCTCATCCCCTTATTTCACTAAAGAGGAAACGGAGAAAAATGTTAAGTGTTAAGTGACTGAAATGCCATACTTCCTCAATTCATTTCTGTGTGTTTCAGGAAAACTTACGCCAAGGAAATGGGGGTACCTCAAGGTCAAAGGGAGAGAGAAACTGAGGAATGATTAAGAAGATTGTCAGTATCCACTCAACAACATCTACTGAGCATCTAGTATATTCTGAGTACCAGAGGTTCTGTGTTAGCACAGGCAGACAAAGCCCTAACTATGTATTTAAAATTTAACAGATACTAAATCAGAGGGGAAAAAAGTAAGTGTAAAACAAACAAACAACAAACAAAAAAACCTCTACCAAAATAAATAGAGTAGTTTAGGAAAATAAAAAGCCTAGCAAGGCTCTCTATGAATGGAACAGGAAACACATGGAGAGAAATAAACTGGGTAAGGACTAAACAATTTATTCACATTGCAATTTTAGGATCTGTTTAGAAAAAGCATGTACATTCATTACTGGAAAAGAATTTCTGGTGACCAAAAAACCCCACAATAACAACAGTGAAGTCTTTTGCAGAAGAGACCCTTAGCCCCCTTACTTTGCCACAAGAGGGTGCACATTTCCTTATTAATACAGTGACCGAGTGGAACCCTGGTATGTTCCTCTGGCAGGCGCTCACCTCTCTCAGGCACCACCCCAGCCCCTAAGTCTCATGACAGTAACAAGCATCAGTACATAGTTATGTAGGTTAAATCCCTTTCACAAGCTTTATTTCATTTATTTCTAACAATAGCTCTGTGAGCATGGGTAGAGCAAAAAGTATCGAGCCAGTTTAAAGATGAGGAAACACACTCAGAGCCAAAGTGACTTGTCCAAGGTCAGAGAGATCATAATGTTAGAGACCAAACTCAAACTAATGTCTCCTAATTCCCCAATCCTATATACATTTTCCTTATTTTCCTACAAGAGCATAATCAACACCCATTCCATAATCATTCCATGCTTCAATTCACCCATTCTACTTTTCCTGGGCAGAGAATCATACACTGGGCAAATCAGAGACTACTAACCTTTACACTGTTAAAGCTGTTTTTTAAAAACTATGTGTTAACAACTGGCAATTATTTTTATGGGTTTCCAATGAAGTGAGAAGTGTGCAGACAGTTGTCTACAGTATCCTAAGGCAGCAGTAACATGAACAAGAATAATTGTAAGTGCTGCTTACAATAGGGAAATTAACTATAAGCTCAAATTTCTTTGGATAGAGCTTATGAGATTCAGCCTAAAACCTAACTCCAAAAGTCTTTTCTCGTGAGACAGTAGAGCATAGTGGTCCAGGATTTGGACTTAGCAGCCAGACTGCCTGGGTTCAAATCCAGGTTTGCTACTTATCATGAGACCTTAGCCAATTACTCAACTTTAGCGTGCCTCAATCGTTCCTCTGCAAAATGGAGATAAGAATAGCAGCTACTCCACAGCATCAGATAACATGAACAAGCACGCAGTAAGCATGCAGGCTACAGAAGGCAGTCCTTATTCTAAAAGGCAGACCAAATATTAATTTTAGTGATGAAAGAAAACACATTAATTTTATGTGCTTTATGTGACACAGAACTACATTTTATGACCATATGGATGCTTGAAAATATATTAAAAATCCTTAATGATCTAAGTATATAGCAACTATATCTGTCTTAAAGGATTTAGAACATAAATATAAATTGCTAAGGAGTATACAGTTCTCATATCTTTGCTTTTATGACTTTGTTTTTCTTATGTCTATGGTCAGTTGGATGATGCCAAGTCCCTGGTGAGGAAAGAAAAGCTAGATTACTGAGTTCTTCTGGAAGGGGAGGCAGTAAGCTTTACGTGACAAAGGGGAAAGTTCCCTGCCCTGGAAACCTGATGACCCAGGCTATAGTTACAGCTCTACCACTAAACAGCACTAATCCCACATCCATAACCCACAAATATCTCTAAAAATCTACCTTGTCATCTCCACTCCCACCACCATGGTCTTAATTCAAATTCTCATCATCATGGATTACTAACTGGCCACAGACGTGGAGCTCACTAAGTCTGCTGAACAAGGGAATAAGTGGGCAGTGGGAACAGTGCCATTAACAGAGAAGAATACAAAAGCAGCAGGAAAAGATTTGTTTATAAACTTTTGGATACACATTGTTAACTCAAGTCCTACCTCAGCTCAGACTTCATAAATGCTGGGCCACTCCAGTAAGGCTGATCTGACAGAATCCTCTCTGTCTCTCAGACTTTTCTTAGTGGTAGTGTCACATGCCCCACAGGGTTGCTCAGATCCCCTTTGTCAGTCCAATTCAGTTTGTGGGATCAAATTCACCAGATCATTAAGGCTGGCTGCTCCTGCATCCAGCCGAAGCTGCTTTGGTATCTCTGGGTCTAAGAGGGCACTGGGCTTAACCTAACTAGAGGTCATAGTGACTCAGACGTGGGGTGGCCCACTCTTTTGCAGGGTCTGAGTGCCTTCCAGCTCCTTCCGAGGACCCCAACAAATCTCTGATCCTTTCCCACTCCAAACATCACACTCTTCCTTTGAAGACTGCCCTCTAAATTCTTGTTTAGTTTGAAGGATATCTCTCTTGCCTGACTTGGACAGAGATAATCTCATAGCTCCATCTAAATGAAAGGTGAACATCTTTTACAGCTTTGACCTCAGATTTTATTCGATGTCCCCATGGGCTCTGGTGCTCCTCCAGCTGACATGGCTCCACATATACAATATGTGCAAGATCACTCCCTGCCCATGCGACGGCAATGTCTTACATGCTGCATTTCCTCCCTCAGGAACATGCTCAGGTGCTCAGCCAATGTGTGTTAATTACACAGTAGGGAGGCACCCTTGCATCTGGCTCATAACCTGAAATTCCCAGCAGAGGGCACCATAGAGGAGGAATCAATTACCTTCTGACAGCAGAGCTAATGAGCTAAGTCCTAGAGTTTCAATTTAGGCTTCACTGACAGTTGCTGCAACATTGAGCTGCGTGATGTTGGGAACATGTCTGAATTTGGCTTCCACAAGATTGTAACAAGACCCTTCCTTTCAACCGTGATATGCAAAACTGTGCAATCAGTACTGGGTGGCAAATCTGTGCTAGGAAGGATGATCTCAGCCATCAAAATTAGAACTGGAAAAGCCCTCCCCAAATCTAAGCAGAATAGCTCAGTCCTAAATGTCTCTTATACTTCCCTTGGGACTCCAATTTACAAGCTAACAAGTCTCACCATGAAAACAGCTTTTCTTGATGTTTAGCATTACTTTTTATTTCTTTTTATATACTGCTTTGATAGATTCTAAATACATTTTCTCTTTCCATGAGGTTTACATCCTTCACATTCTTAAGGAATGTTATCATATCCCCTGTATTCACCCTCTGGCCAAGCTATACATATTTAGCTCCTTTCATGTCTCCTATGTCCTTCCTTCCAGCAGTGTTGGCTCCTCTTTAAATTCCTTCCCATCTGTCAACATCTTTCTGGAACTGATGCACACCCTCCCTTAATAAACATTCTAGGTACTCTTTGTTTCCTAAGAGTTCTCCAAAGACTCCTATAGTGAAAAGAATATTGGACCAGAAGTCAGAAATGGTAGTTCTAGTCCTGGATCTGTTCCAAGTCTCAGTGGTCCCTTCTATAAAAGGGGAGTAACACCTTTCTGATTTGATTAAAAGAGAACATAAAATATATAATCACTTTACAGATTATAAAGTGCTGTGCATGAAGAATGTGTGCATATATTACTCACATAATTTCAAAACTATAAACAAAAAGACTGGAAACAAGTATGTCAAATAATAACAGTTGTTAAAACTAGTGGTGACACTAGGAATAATGGCTACATTATTCTATGTATGTAGTGCTTTTTGTTTCAACTTTAAAAAATTATTCATTTATCCATTCACTACAAATATTTACTGAACTTCAACTATATGCAAGATGATGGGCTAGATAATGTGGCAGAACATAAAACAAGGACCTCAGGAATTTATTATTATCATCCCAAATTCTTAGGAACTCACTACTTGGTTTAGATTATATAATACCAGAAAGCTGTTTATGCTGTCTCTTGGATTACGCTTTATTACACTGGGGTGATTTCTCATTATTTCTTTAGAATAGATTCTAAGAAACAGAATTACTAGGACAAAGGTTATAAATCATATTTAGACCTCAAATTTCCAAACAACTTCCCAGAAAGGGCGTGCCAATTTATACCCTCATTGCCAATGAATAGAGTGTCTCTTAACATACCATTGCCAACATTGGGTGTTATCTTTTTTCCTAACTAATGAATTGCTTTTAAAAATAATAAATAGGCTGGCCATGGTGGTTGCATGCCTGTAATCTTAGCACTCTGGGAGGCTGAGGCGGGAGGACTGCTTGAGGTCAGGACTTCACGACCAGCCTAAGCAAAAGTGAGACTGTCTCTACCAAAAATAGAAAAGATTAGCTGGCCATGGTGGCATGCACCTGTAGTCCCAGCTACTCGGGAAGCTGAGGCAGGAGGATCACTTGAGCCCAGGAGTTTGAGGTTGCATGAGCTAAAATGATGCCACTGTACTCTAGCCCAGGGTGAAGGAGTAAGATCCTATCTAAAAAAAGAAAGAAGAGAAAATGAAAGCATGAGAAAATCCAAAGTTAATTCATTTCTACCAATATAAAATATCCCCACTTGGAACCTATTTTGGTATTGCCTTATGGTAAGTGTTCAAAAGAATCTTTAGTCTTTCAAAATACATTAACTGAGTGGTTATTATTTTCCAGGCAATACACTGGGGGTTAAACCACAAAGATAAAATAGTCCCTGACCCTGCCTTCAAAGGGCTCATAATCTAGGGCAAAAGATAATATTAATAATTATAGAATACTGTAGGGACAGTTCCTTCCTTGAGAAGTATGTGGAAAGTACAAAAGCAACACAGAAGAGGGAGCCAGGAACAACACAGGGTAGTCAGGGGCTTCAAGGACATGGTAATGCCTGACCAGGGTTATGAAGGACGAGCAGGTCTTGATCAGAGAAGGGAGAACAGAATGAGAGTAATCCAGGGCAGAGGAATAATTACTCTGGTTTTGCAGTCACTACTGTCCTCTCCCAGAAAATGTTTTATTATATAAAGTTTTAGCAATTCAAAGCTAAGTTTCACTGGGCAGTTTTATTGTTGCCATCTCTATCATTTACAACAGTTGCATTTCTGTCCAAGGAAAAAGCAACCAGCAACCTTTCTGCTACTTCATCCACAAAGGGCGCAAGATTATTCCTGCTTCTCACAGAGAAATTTGTTTTATAAAAATGAGTAGGGGCCAGGTGTGGTGGCTCACACCTGTAATCCTAGCACTCTGGGAGGCCAAGGCGGGCAGACTGCTCAAGGTCAGGAGTTCAAAGCATGAGCAAGAGCGAGACCCCAACTCTACTATAAATAGAAAGAAATTAATTGGCCAACTAATATATAGAGAAAAAATTAGCCGGCATGGTAGCGCATGCCTGTAGTCCCAGCTACTCGGGAGGCTGAGGCAAAAGGATTGCTTGAGCCCAGGAATTTTAGGTTGCTGTGAGCTAGGCTAACGCCACGGCACTCACTCTAGCCTGGGCAACAAAGCGAGACTCTATCTCAAAAAAAAAAAAAAAAAAAAGAGTAGGAAACAATTTTGCTGAATACAAATTTTAAAACTTAGATTGTCAAGCTTGAAGAGGATCTTTAATTCTTAAAGCTCCTTAAATACTTTCTCAGGAAAGGTGGGAGTATATATAAGATAAATAACTTTCTTTTCTACTTCTATGAAAATAAATCACTTGACTCTACATAAAAATAACACAAAATCCAGTTTTAAAAAATAGCATAAGAAATTATTAATGGCATCAAATAATTTTCAAATAATAAAAATATCCTGAGAAGCTGCCCTTTTATGTGCTTCTACATATCATTGGTGGCATATATAATTATCCATACCTGGGATTTAACAGTGTCCTGAAAAATATACTCTGTGGAATAGGGATTACAGTAGCAGACTTAAAAAAAAAAAAAACCAAAAAAAAAAAAAAAAAAAGGCAATTGCAGGCTGGCCACTGTGGCTCATACTCATAATCCTAGCACCTTGGGAGGCCCAGGTGGTAGGATTGCTTGAGCCCAGGAGTTCAAGACCAGCTTGGTAATAGTGAAAGCCCATGTCTACAAAAACATAAAAAAATTAGATGGGCATTGTGTTGTGTACCTGTAGTCCCAGCTCCTAGGGAGGCTAAGGCAGAGGATCACTTGAGCTCAGGAGTTTGAGGCTGCAGTGGGCTATGATGACGCCAATGCTAGCCCCAGCAACAGAGACCTTGTTTCTCAGAAAAAAAAAAAAAAAAAAAGACAACTGCAACTGTTTTGTGTTAAAAGCCTTTAACCTATCCCAGAATTTTCAAAGCCCAAACACCACTCTAGGTCACCAATCCTCAGTGTGTTTAAATTGCAGAGCATTTAAACAAAATTGGCAGAAAACCACATACAAAAGGGCTTCTCCCTTATAAATTGTTAAAAGATAGCTTTCCAACTACTAAATCATTTATTTTCTTTTAGATGTAAGCCTTTCAAAATTGTATCCTATGGCTCATATATCTTCCTAAACTCTTTGTTATCAAAAGGCAAATAGATCTTCTCTTGAATCTAAATGACAGCCTGTCTTTCTCTTGGCTCCCTAGGAATCACCACCACCTGCCCCAGTGCAGCTGAGCTTGGTCAGGAGCAGACACTCCGATGCTGGTCCTGTGATGGGGATAGGTTCTCTGGCCAGCGAGCTCTAAGGGCAGGCTACGACCCCAAAGCCCAGGTAAGCAACCACATGGAGTGTTGGTGTCTGTCTAGCCCCACAATGCAGCCCAGATCCCAGCTGAGGCTCCAGGCCACCTGCCACTGCACTTAGGACTCACAGGTCAGCTCGTGTTCTGATATGGAAAATTATCATTTATCTCCATCTTTCACAAAAATAAATACATCACCAGGTTGTCTGCTTTTTCCTTTTTTTTTTTTCTTTTCACTTGTCAAAAAGCAAAGGGGATCCTTACAGAAAACCATATATTCCCACACAATTTTGACTGATTTGAAAAATAAGTGTGTTTACAAATTTAGAAAGATATATGTCACAAGGGGTAAACAATAAGATATTTCCCTATTCATTCATTTAATCAACAGCACCTACCATGTGCTAAACACTGTGTTGGGCTGAGGACACTGAATAAATGACACAGTTCTCATTTTCCGAACACTCACAGTCTAGTATAGACCAATATTATTTTCCCCTTTGTATTGAATTTCTACCTGCTGGGTTTCCAAGAGAACTAGCCAAGACTATCAGACTTACTCACTCTCCAACCTTAAAAGTATAATCATTTGAAGTATTTTGTTTTCAGTTTTATGCTATTAATAATAATCATAATAGGTAAAACTGACTGAATGCCTACCCTATGTCAAAAGTCGAACTAACGTATTTTCTGTGTCTTATGAAGCATCTTGTCCAAAGTCATACCTAATGAGGGCTGGAGCCAGGAAGTAAAACTCAGGTCTGCCCAGCCTGGACTATGTTCTTAACGACCAATCTCTGTGGCCTGTACTCACCCAAGGGACTGTTTGGACTAGCTGTAAATTGAGAAATGTTTGGATATTTCCTTCTTGAAGAATCCTGTTATTAAAGGTATAATGCAAAACACTTTAATAGCATACAAAATACTCCCAGAGATAAGTTTAGGAAGCTATTGGTTTGCAAACATCTTACCAGCCTACTGATGATTTTATAAATCCAACAATACCACAAGTAAAATACTCTGCTGCCAGCAGAGGTACAGTTTTGAAGCTACTGATTGTCAGTTTTGATTTTTATTAAACTTCTTAAACCTTGAGTCTGATCTTTCAGATTCAATTTCATTTCTTTCCTATTCAGGATCCATGGGCTAATCTGTCTTCCTGAGAAACACATGATGAAAGAATGAACAGGTATCAGCAGTGAGTGGCACCTTGTCCCATGAATAACCACTATTTGTCATTGTCAAAAAACCTAGAACTCAACCTGAACAGAGAAAAATTCTGGAACCCATGGGACAAGATAAGGAGCTCTCATAATCCAGAATAGAAAGCCAAGGGAAGAGTGACCACAACAAAAATAACAACAGGACCAGCTTCATGGGTGTGCAACCCATACAATTACACAGGACCCTCTGCTCAGATAGGCCCCACACTTGGTTCAATGCTCTGCTGTTACCATGCAGAAATGCTTAATAATTCATCTTTGAACTTGTATATTTTAAGTAAAGTCCAATGGAGCATGAATGTGAGCAGAGAAAATACAGGCAGTATGCATGTTGCCATTCCTAGTCACCTTATTTGCATATGGTCCATTTGATGCCCTATGAGTGCAGGATTCTGGTGGGCCCACCATGTGTGGGAGTTCATCAAGACTCAGAGCAAGCACAAGGTAAGCATGTCATATCTACGACTAGGTGAGGCTGCAGTCCCAAGAAGCCACACTTTTTTTTTTTTTTTTTTTTTGAGACAGAGTCTCGCTTTGTTGCCCAGGCTAGAATGAGTGCCGTGGCGTCAGCCTAGCTCACAGCAACCTCAAACTCCTGGGCTTGAGTGATCCTTCTGCCTCAGCCTCCCGAGTAGCTGGGACTACAGGCATGCGCCACCATGCCCGGCTAATTTTTTATATATATATTAGTTGGCCAATTAGTTTCTTTCTATTTATAGTAGAGACGGGGTCTCGCTCTTGCTCAGGCTGGTTTTGAACTCCTGACCTCGAGCAATCCGCCCGCCTCGGCCTCCCAGAGAGCTAGGATTACAGGCATGAGCCACCGCGCCCGGCCCACACTTTCTACTAGAATGGAAATTTGCTTTGGATGTAGAAAGAAGGCAATGGCACTCTAAGAAACATGAACAACCAAGGAGCCCTATCCTATGCTTTCTTACTCATGTTACTTCTTCACATTAGCCAATCACTTATACTGAAAATGAGGATGTATGATGTCAGAGGAAAGGAAAAGATAAGGTAATCCATAGTTCTCTTCCATTAGTCCTTATACTCTTTAGTAAGCTGAAGGTAGAGCATGTTGATAGAATGTGCACATATTAAGAAGTGAAATAAAAACAGCTGAGTTCGTTTGGTGCAGCATTTCCGCTATTTTCGGAAGAACAATGTATGTATAAACTACAAAACATAAATTCTATGATTTGGTGATTCTGCATATAAGCTAAATGCTCTCATATGTGCACTTTAAACTACATTGCACAATATAAAGGGAAAGAGTACAATTCATATTAATAATTACTTTTTTTATTACTTAGACTGACATTATGTAATGAATAAACTATACCATGGCAAGTCAAGAGAGAGACCATGGAAGAAATGAAAAAGCTTTATATTTTAGTTCTTTCAATGACTTTTTTTTCTCTGTTTTTCTGAACAAGGGACCCTATATTTTCATTCTGGACTTGGCCCCACAAATTATGTTTTTAGCCTTAGTAATAGTAACAAATAAAAGGATTAAATTATGATCAAATCACTGCCTCTTTCCAATCAGACCTCAGACCAAGAGGTGAAAGACTAGATAATTCAATAATAAAGCAAACAAATATTACTGCTTGGAAGTCTGATTTTGGTGAGATCAACTAATCAACACACCCACAACCTCCTTCCACCATGTGCAACAACCCAGGGATCACAGAAAGCCAAGAGAATCCAGCCTGAAATGGAGGAAAAAGGTTTTTAACATTAAGTCAGTCCCGACAGTTCTCCCAGTGTTGAAAACTATGCCTGAAGGGGTTTCCCGGGAGGGGAAATGTGCAGATAGGGCAAGTGGTATAACTGATACCTTTTTCAGTACAAATCTCTGTATGAGACAAGCAGCCTCAGACTTTGGCAATGATTTATTGCTTATGTGCACCTGTCATCTTTGGCACGTTAGAGGTGAGAGATAACTCCTAATGTTTGATGGATGTTTTAAGGTTTAATAAGCACAAGCACTTTTCAATACAACCTTATTTTATTCCTACCATAGCCAAGTGAGGAACTCAGGGAAAGTTTTGTTTTGTTTTTGTGAGACAGAGTCTTACTCTACTGCCCAGGCTAGAGTGCCATGGCGTCAGCCTAGCTCACAGCAACCTCAAACTCCTGGGCTCAAGCAATCCTTCTGCCTCAGCCTCCTGAGTGGCTGAGACTACAGGCATGCACCACCATGCCTGGCTAATTTTTTCTATAGATTTTTAGTTGTCCAGCTAATTTCTTTCTGTTTTTAGTAGAGACGGGATCTCGTTCTTGCTCAGGCTGGTTTTGAACTCCTGACCTTGAGCGATCCTCCCGCCTGGGTCTCCCAGAGTGCTAGGATTACAGGTGTGAGTCACCACACCCAGCCCTAGGGAAAGTATTTTTAAACAAAATTTTTATAGTTAGTATTCAAAGGATAAAAGTACTGCAGCTTCTAAGTAACTGAACTGGGTAGTGGCTACATGAATATTCACTTTATACATATTCTTTAAACAGCATATATGTATTGTATGTACTTTTGTGAAAGACGCAGACTGCAAAAAAAGAACAAAGGTAATAAATGTTCACTGTAAGAAATTATTAATAGAAAAGAATGTTTAAATCTCCCATCATCCCAGAAGAAACTACTATTAACAATTTTAATGCCTTCTTGTCTTAGTTTTAATAAACGTGGACTCATATTTTCTATTAAGTTTTATGTCTTTTTCTGAAACTCAACATTATGTTTTCAAACAGCATTAAAAATCGATATGGTATTTCTTAATAAAGGTAAACCCTACTTTAACAAATTCCCTACTGTTGGACATTTAGCTTGTTTCAAATTTATTTCCCAAATTACCAGAGGACATTTATCTCTACCTCCCAGAAAAGGAAGAGCTCACGAGGCCCAGGACCCTTGCTGCTGGCGTGCTGCAGAGCCAGGAGAAGCCCCACCTCGCTGGGTTTGGAGAGCTAGTTCTTCCCCATATGCTGCTCTGTACTTCCTCTGATCACAAGGGTTTAAATTGACAAATCAAAGGGAAAATAGTGAAGACAACCCACCCCTGACTCTTTACCATGAACTCTCTCTCTCTCACCCTAAAAAGAGGCACCATCAACCAAGTTCAGGGTTAAGATCAGGAAGCGTGAGCTTCTCAGATACCTGGCCTGTAGATGATGGGGACCATCGCCGTCCATCTGAGGTGTACTGGCAGGGCCCAGATAGTTACTTGGGAGGCCAGGGAAGGAGAATAAACTTTTCAAAGGTAACAAGGCTGCACGGCTAGAGGTTAGTAGGGAGGTTTTATAAATATTTACTGAACAAAACTCTGCCTGTTAACTGGCTGACACAGAACAAGGTGTGGTTTTCCTTCCCGCCCCCAGAGGCGCCTGGGAAAGTTGGTCTGACAAACCAGCGAGAAATGCTGCCGAGCCACGATGGAACCAAGAGACGGCAAAAATGCCTAAGATGATTCAGGAAATGAGTCCAACCGTCTTCTGCCTGTCCCCTCCCCTCAGGCCCCACAACTCCCACTCCTATTCACTGAAGCAGGAAACCATAGAGGAGAAGACACTCACAAACAAAACACTGGCCTCAGAAATGAGTGCTTAGAGGAGCTGGGCAAATAAACAGCTCTTATCACAGTATACAGTTTAGCTACTTCCCAACAGGTTGAAATATCACTGGCCCCACTTACTATCGTGAATGCCACTGGGTGGCAATAAAAATCATGAGTGGTGGGGAGGTCGTATATAGAAAATATAATAAAAAGTCCTAGCTTTCCTCTGGTTTGGTGGTTGGTCTAAAAGTTCTCTTTTTGGCAAGCATGTCCATTTTTTAATATTCCTTGCTAACTGAAGTAGGCAAGAACCTAGGTTTGGGAAGACAACCCTCAGAACCAAAAGTAAACCACTCCAGACTCAAAAGAATCTATCCTATTATAAGGACCCCAGAGAAAGTGATTCCAAAACCTACTGGAAAACACCAAAATGTTTAGTTACTGGGAAATTTTCCCAACACATATACACAAATTCAATCCTAATTTTACTCTAATCCCTCATTCTGAAAGATAAACCCATTATTCATGTAAGTTAAAATATAGTCTACCTGGCCTGACAAATTTTACTTGGGGGCATCCAGAGTAGGTGTGGGACATTCAGAGAGACAGAAAAGCCATCTTCCAGTGGTGCTAAAGCCAAGATACCACCTGACCACTCATAGCAACCATGGACATAAAAACCAGCTGGTTTCACAAACATCAGCATTCTCGTGGGCAAAGCTCCCTGTCCTCCCAAGGGCAGGGCACCAACTCACATGGGCAACTCCATGCCCTCCCAGTAAAAGCAGGGGTTGATCTACCCAATGATGATTATTTTCCTGAGCAACACTGAAGAGGCTAGCGAGAGATCGTAATTCAGAAGGACTAACCTTTCTAGCACTAGTACACTAGTTCAAACTGAATGCCTCTCCCTTCTAGATAAAAAAAAAAAAAGCCAGCTCTTGCTAACACAGTTTGATTTATAAGCTTTGTGGGCCTTTATGAGAAAGATTATAGATGGGGGTGGAGCAGAAGTGGGAATAAAGCCAACAGGAAACATATATTATATTATGCAAGCAAGACACCTATTTATAACTTTTATTAAACTTTCATTTAAATGATAGATTCTTGAGCTAGAGATTCCTATAGAAATTATCCAAAATATTATAAAGCATAGGAGAAAATACTCTCACATTTGGAAACAGGACCAGAAAAGGATCTCTCTGCTGCTTTAAGTAAAGTTTTAAAAGTGAGCCTGTAAAGTTCTAGGTACCCAAATGTAGCTGTGCTAAATTCAAGTGTGGGCTCTTTTTCATTCCTGGCCTGCCTTCCTTTCGAAAAGTATAATTGGGCAAAAAGCAAAATCATAAAATAAATAAAAAGAAAAAAAAACAGGCAAAACAAAAATGTAGGAGACCTAGAAAACTTCAAAAGGAGCAATTTCTAAGTCACTAAGAGCTCAGGATAATTATCCAGCTATGTGTCAATGAAATTACTATGTTTGCCTATGCATCTATGGGATGTATTATTATGTTTTAACTTCTCAGGATCTTCATTCTTCCAAAATTAATTATCCACTTACAGCCTCTAACTTAGCAATTTATAAATAGGTACCCCTTTTACTGCTTTGACAAAATTTAGATTTTTAAGATGTTAACATATTTAAAAGCTCTGAAAACTAGTAACACTGATTCATCACTTCTTCTCACTATCCTTATGTTATTGCTCTGTCACCAGCACTGGCCTTGCAAGTCTTTAGTATTTAGAGTGTAGGTGCTCTGTTATCACAGGTTAAAATAAAAACAAAACAGATATTGACTAGTTTAGTTTCTTTAGTAGATTAGGAGTGTCCCAAATGTGGTAATAAAAGTTTCCTTCCTATCACTTTTTTAAGTGATCCTATTCAGATTTTCCTCAGCAATAGCAAGAAAGGCAAAAGAATGGATAATGGGTTGGCATAATGTTGACACCATTTGGTATATGATGTATTGCCTGCCTGTGCTCCGTGTGTCAGTTAAACAAGTACTATTGTGCCTTACCACCAGAAGTAGCAACTGGAAAATAGAAAAATATGCCACAAAGCTCACTGCTATTACTACTGTGGGAAGTCAAACGGCAACCTTTTCAAGTATCAATTTTCTACCCCCCACTCCCTATAGGTTACACAGAAGCTCTCCTCCAAGTTTAGGATTTATTTCTAAAAATTCCCAACCAGCAGATTCTAGACCAGCAGTAGGAACTGGTAAGGCATAGGGTATGTAACAATTATTAGAGGCTGAATTCCACAACTCTTGATTTAAAATATATCAACTGCCACCTTATCCTACCCGTACGGTTTACACTGTGGCAACCCTGTTCCAGAAAGCCTGCCTGCCTCCACTAATTCAAAATTCAGCTTGATAAGTTTCATTTTGTGAAACCTGTTCCCCAAGTTCTTGATACAAAGAATTGCAATGTCATTGATAACCCCAGAAATTCCATAATGTTCCCTTATCAGCCATTAAAATTATTTTAAAATAGGTATAGTAATTTAAGAACTTCTCCCTTTTCCCTCTGGATTTGATTAAGAGCAGTAATTTGACCTACATGTATACATGCCAAGGTTGTGTTATAAAAGGATAATTACCTATTTCTTTATCAGATTCCTAGACTTAAAAATAAATGTTGGGGGGGGTGGACTGAGAAATTGAGGTTAGACTTGAAGATTGAACTCTTAGAGAAATTAAAACATATAATCAATTACTGATTAGTCACTAATGATGATAATGAATACTGGAGTCTATAGTTCAAACAAGCAATTAGGGTTGATACAAGAAGTATAAACAATTCACCAATGGGCCCACTGCTCCTCTGAATGGAGTGTGGCCCAGGGCCCTCACACTGTGCCAGTCTATCCCCAACCTATGGCAACTTCTAGGCCATGCTACATCCTCCCAGGTGCAGTGGCACTAATGCAGGCTTATCTTTTATGGGCATCACTTCTTCCTTCGGGTAATTTTGAAAAAACACTTGTTTTACTACACAGTGTAAAAAGTAAAATAGGAGCTACAATCAAATTTGGAACCAGCTAGGATATGACCTCTCACTGAAAGGCAAAGGCACTATTTCAATCAACAAAGTTGCAGTGTGTTAAAAAGGTCCCTGATGCTAAGCCAAGAACATGAATTAGCTTGGCTCAGAAAGAAATGAGCCTGTTCATGAGATAAATGAGGCAAACAAACATCTTTAACAAAAATTAAAACTACACCAAAAATACAATGGCATCTTGGCTTTTATCCCCCTTGACTAAAAACTCTTAGTTGTTCCAAACTTCAGCATCCATCAGCCTCCACCCCCTGCAAGATTTGCTAACATACACATTGCAGAATCCACCTCCAGAGTTTCTGAGGTGGAGCTGGGGTGGGCCTGAGAATTTGCATTTTCAACACGTTCCCCATTATTGGTGAAGGCATCACACTTTGGGAATCAGTATCCTGGCTTATCTATTACACAGTGTGTGTAAAGGTGAAAGGATGCTTATTTTTCTGTGGGGGAACATTCCCTCAATGACATTAGAAAGCTGCACTGTGAAAGGATCCTTCAGGAAATGCCCACACTTTGCCTTGACATTGAGAATTTATTATTTGATGACCTTTAATCCATAGATTACAAACCTCTCTGGACTTTGAGACCTTCCAAAGAAAGGAGAGAAAGTCCCCTAGCCTAGGAACCATCTGGCCTGGAATAACATTCATCCCATTCCCTAGCAAGGGTCTTCAAACTTTTTAAACAGGGGGCCAGTTCACTGTCCCTCAGACGGTTGGAGGGCTGTTGGAGAGCCCGGGTGCACATTCCACACATGCGCACTGTGGGCCCGGGACCACTCGGCAGCCATGGCGGCAAAAACACCCGGTGAGCCTGATAAATGTCCTCAGCAGGCCGCATGTGGCCCGTAGTTTGAGGACTCCTGCCTAGAGGTACAAATTCTAAAGTAAGATTCACCTGGGTTCAAATTGTGACTCTTTCACCTACTAAACTGTGAGCCCTTGAGTAAATTACTTAATCTTTGAGCCATTATTTCCTCATCTGCAAAATGAGCATAATAATAACAATACCTATACACAGTGTGGTTGCAAGAATTCAATGAAAAATAATAATATATCTAAAGCTCTTAGCCCCAACTCACAGAAAACTCAGTAAACGTGAAGGCTATCGTGCCTGGTCCTTACAGAAGACTTCTAGAAATCTCTATCTAGATCACCTGTAATCCAGGAACTCTTCCCCCACAAACTCCTACCTACCCAGATTTTTCAACAAGATGTCAAGACACAAGAGAGAGCATTCTCCTGGGCAAACATCATTCACACTCCTCTCAGATTTCTTGGTCCTCCTGCATCCCTGTCTATGCTCCCTCCTCAGGTGCTGTCGGACCCCTTCCGGTGTACTTTTATAGACATCCCCCAGGTACCCTCAATTCTTTCATCACTGTTCAAAAAACAGTCTTTCTGGACAGGCATGGTGGCTCACACCCATAATCCTAGCACTTTGGGAGGTCAAGGCAGGAGGATTGCTTGAAGTCAGGAGTTCAAGACCAGCCTGAGCAAGAGCGAGAGCCCATCTCTACAAAAAATAGAAAAATTAGCTAAGTGTGGTGGCATGTGCCTCTAATCCCAGCCACTCTGGAATCTGAGGCAGGAGGACTGCTTGAGCCCAGGAGTTTGAGGTTGCAAACTATGATGATGCCACTGCACCCTAGCCTGGGCAAGAGGGCGAGGTCCTATCTCAAAACAACAACAGCAAAACCCCCCAGGTCCTATCTCAAAACAACAACAGCAAAACCCCCCAGTCCTTCTGAACAAGGAAAGGTGTGGGCCATGATTAATTCAGCCAACCAAACGTAGGCAAACTATCACACCATCTAAACAAACGTGTTTCCTTTGAAATTTGTGTCAATGCATATTCTCTACTTTTAACAAATTTGCTTCATTTTAATAACATTTTTATTATAAAATACATAAATTAGAAAATTAAGACCACTAGTCATTCTGTCACCCAAAGATAATCACTATTAGTACTCTGATGAATGTTACCACAGTCATGTATTTATGAATGTGGGATTATATATATATATATATATATACATATATATATATATATTCAACATGCATATTTACAACCCCTCGTCTCCATCACTAGGCCATGTGCAGGGACAGCACCACTGGATGATAAAGCTAAGAGAATTATTACCTAATAAACTTACAGACTGACTTTATTAATCAGAGAAAAAACATTTCTATTCATTATCTGCACATTTTAATATTGGTGAGCAGGTGGTCCATAAGCTCTTCCCTTTTTACTCCAATGTAGCTGAAACATTTTTTTCCTCATTTTCATTTTAATACGAAATTTAATTGTCAATGAAATTAAATGAAATCAGAATATACTTTATACACATTCCCCAGGGCCTCAAGATAATAAGAGCATAATTTTAAACTTTTTAAAAATAAATCAAAGGAATAATTAAGGCTTATATAAATTATTCACTATGTTTTCCTTCTTCATTCTCAACAGGGAGAATGTAAGGGGCTGAGAGTGGTGGTGAGGAACACAAACGTAAGCCCTACATTGTACATTTTAATTAGTTAACATTGTCGAAGAATCAAAGACCTTATGTGAAATAAATTCCAACTCTTTCTATTTGTGCTGTGTATCTCAAAGGGTTCTTATGAAACTGCCCACTGTCAGTGTAGGAATTACCTTTCCAATACCAAGCATTCACCCCCAGAAACACATATAGTCATGGCCTCCACATCTAGCCCTGCTTTCTCCAGTGCTGGAGGTGTATCACTCTTGAGGACTGTACCTGCAGAGAGGGAACCCTTCTGCCCCCTCTAGCCAGCCCCTTCAAGTTTGTGTCTTCTTCTTCTCATCTTAGGAGAACAAATATTACTAGGAAATATGCAGAAAAGATTATATATACTATCTAGAAAAAAATGAATTCAAATATCCCTCTTAAAAAATTAAATTATTTATCACCTCTCATATTAATTCATACCTGGTTGGACCCAATCTGCCACTGTGTCATACAAAGATAAGGCAATTGCCCAACCCAAAGAGACAAGCAGGGCATACCCACCATCTCTCACTGCTAAGTAGACATTTTCTCTTAATATCCCAGTACCTCAAATTTAAAATCTTGTCTGCTCAAGCCCACCTCCCCCTCTTGATTTCTATATTACACTCAATAATAACAATAGCAGCATCCTTCTTCCAAGATCCCCTACTTCAGGATCACTGAGCCATTTTTGACTGTTCTCTTCCTTCCCTTTGCCAGGTTTGCATATCCACTCACCAACTCAACAAGTCATCCTGGTTCTTCTCTCTTCACAATATCCCTCCCATCTGTCTTTTTCTTTCAGCTTCCTCAGCAATATCCTCGGCCTTTATTACCCAACACCTAAACATATCCACAGCCTCTTAACTGGCCTCCCACACATGTCAGGCCATTTCATCCACGACCACCTGTTTTGATAATCTCTCTCTGATGATCAGAAATTCAGAGGACTACAGAATAAAATTTGAATGTCTTTGTCTAGCAATCAAGATACTCCGTGGTTCCAGCCATATCTCTGGCCTAGTAAAACTGGTCTATTCTACTCTTGGGGCACATTATATAAATTTATGTTTCCAAACTACCCTTGAAACCTTTTACTGTACTTGGAGTACCTTCCCACTTTCTCACTCTCTTCCTCTTCCTTGAATTCTATTTTTACCCGAGTGCCCAGCTCAAACTCAATCTCTTCTATGGAGCCATCAGAAAGGCTACTTACTAAGTGCTTGCCTCCACATTCTCATTCATTCAAAAAATATTGACTTCCTGTAACGCACAAGGCACTAGGCTAGTTGCTGTGGATGAGGTGATAAAAAAAAACATAAACATTGTTTCCGTTGTTATATTTTCCTCTCCCCATGAGTCTTATTCTGCACCCATTAGGTATAAACCTTTGAGGGTATGACTGTATCTCATACATATTTTTTTATCCTCCAGAGCTCTACTCCTAGCATAGTGTCAGGCACACAACAAATACTCAATAAATGTTTGCTGACTAATTTTTGATTGGCAATTACAGATCCAGTCTACACACACACACACACACACACACACACACACTCCTCAACCTGCCTGTCAGCAGCTATTCACACATCTAAGCTAACTGGCTCATATCTGAAGAGACTAACCTTTATTAACACTATGCTCCAAAGTCAACTGGGCTAACTGACCACCAGACCAAGAACAATAATTGTCTTTCCCATAGAGAATATGACAGTTTGCTTAGGCACTGACAGCATTTTTTAAAACTCTGATCCACAAGAGGAAAAGGCATACTTCTGAATGGCAACAAGACATGGTACAGGTGGTCTTTGCCTTCATATGTCTAGGCAACAAAACATGGGTTTGGTCAAAGAGTTCCACTCAATTAATGCCTTTGATATTCCTTATAGACATATAACCATTTCATCTCACATAAACTTAAGAGGTATGCAAAATATCTGTCAAGCATCCAAAGCGTACATCATCAATTCAGCAAACATTTACCGAATACCAAGAGACACAGACAAGAGAAAGCATGGGCTGTGGAACTAAGAAAACCTAAGTTTGATTTCTAGATTTATTACTAACTAGTTGTGTGGGAAGACATCTGACCTTGCTCAGTTTCGGTTTCCTTGTCTGTAAATACAAGGATAAGGCCACCTAGCACACACTACTTTGCTTTGAGAAGTAAATGAGATAATACGTGTAAAGTACTTGGCACGGAGTAGATGATCAGTGAGTGGTAAGCTGCTGTTGCTGAAGGAGAAGACTGACAGGCAGTAGTGGTATCTGCGGTGTTGGGCACTGTGTTAGTACTGCTGCATTTCCAGTGAGAAAGACAATTTCAAGAGAGGCCTTAACACAGCAAGAGGGCCTGCAGGAGGATCGTTTGAGCTCAGGAGTTCAAGACCAGCCTAAGCAAGAGCGAGATCCTTCTCTACTAAAAATGGAAAGAAATTACTTGGACAGCTAAAAATATATAGAAAAAATGAGCCGGGCATGGTGGTGCATGCCTGTAGTCCCAGCTACTTGGAGGCTGAGGCAGGAGGATCGCTTGAGCCCAGAAGTTTGAGGTTGCTGTGAGCTAGGCTGATGCCATGACACTCTAGCCTGGGCAACAGAGTAAGATTCTGTCTCAAAAAAAAAAAAAAAAAACATAGCAAGAGAAATAAGATGAATATGTAAAACTGTCTTATGCCTGGGAACTGTGTATCATTAAAGTCTAAATAATGTGCAAACTCAGATGTTTCAATGACATCACAAGTAACATTATCTTAAGACATTTATTAAGTAAAATACTCATCTCCAACCACCCTCATCTCACAGTCATTTGGTGCTTTCAACAATTCAAACTGTTTTGGGGGGATACAAAACAATGGTAGAACATTTAGCTGTACTCTTTTACCCTGAGATAAATAGCTTGTAAACTGCTAGAAGGCCACTACTATTCCGAAAACCAATGTTTGTTCTTTAGGGAAGGTGATGCTGAAAATCCAAAACCAGTGTAAGAATTCAGCTCCTATGCAGGCCATTGTAAAGAGGACACACCTAGGACACAGTAGACACACAAATGTTTGCTGAACATGAGAATAAGTGTCAGTTACAGTGGACTTATATCTCTAGTAATGTAACACCTGGAGCATCAGTGCAGTAAGTGTTACTATAAATAAGGGTTTTCAATCTTTAGAATCAAAGAAGGAAACGGGGCTAATACAAATGCCCAGTTTCAATCTCTCTTGAG